TAGAGACGGGGTTTCACCATGTTGACCAGGATGGTCTCGATCTCTTGACCTCGTGATCCACCCGCCTCGGCCTCCCAAAGTGCTGGGATTACAGGCTTGAGCCACCGCGCCCGGCTGCATTGTATCTTTTTATAATGGATTTCAATCTTAATTATTAAGTCCTGGGAAATTCACTGTGTTAAGAGTCAAAATTTATCGTAGACTTACACAAATAGAAAATACATCATTAAAAAATTATTTCAAAAGTTGCAATATTCATCTATCAAATATAACATGAAAGTATGGATTAGGTCCATAAACATCATATTTTGCTTATAAATAACAGATGGAGTCATAGACCCTATACAACAATTCTCAGACATTTGGTCCACTTTAAGCAATATGTTATCAATAGCTGATAAATATGTTGTTTTAAAACTTTTTCCTAATTGCATGGTATGAAAGAATCATTACACAGTTTACTTGCTAATCAAAAGGAGAAAATGTGTACTTTAAAGAGCCATCTGGCAGTCACTACTGTAAGCAAGTGTTCAAACTAAACATCACTAATAGAGGACAACCAAAGATTACGTAACTCCTGATTTAATTTAATACGAAGTACAGGGCATCATCTCCAAAGAATTCCTTTTTTTTTTTTTTTTGAGACATTCTCGCTCTGTTGCCAGGCTGGAGTGCAGTGGCGCAATATTGGCTCACTGCAACCTCCACCATCTGGGTTCAAGCGATTCTCCTGCCTCAGCCTCCCAAGTAGCTGGGATTACAGGTGCATGCCACCACGCCCAGTTAAGTTTTGTATTTTTAGTAGAGACAGGGTTTCACCATGTTGGCCAGAATGGTCTCGAGCTCTTGACCTTGTGATCTGCCCGTCTCGGCCTCCCAAAGTGCTGGGATTACAGGCATGAGGCACCATGCCTAGCCAATAAAAAATATTATTTTTAAGATGTAGAGGAGCTGTTCTAGATTAAAATAAAAAAACATAACAAGCAAATACTAATTGTGAACTTTGGATCGAGATTGGGGGAATAAAGTTATAAAAGGCATTTTAAGCACAAATGGAAAATTTTAAATATGAACAGAATTATTAGATGTTATTAAAAATTATTAATTTTCTTAAGATGTGATGATGGTATTAGTTTTTAATAGGAAAATGTCCTTATTTTTAAGAGACGTATACTAAAATATTTAGGGAAGCAGAGTCAGGTCTCAGTGGTTTTCAAATGGCTAGGCAATTTTGAAAAATGTATGTATGTATGTAAGTATGTACGTACACACACATACGTGTATATAAAATCACAAACAATAAAGCAAAGATGACAAAAATGTTAAAAATTATTGAATCGAATGGTAAATCTATGGGTGGTCACTGCATGTCCTTTCAACTTTGCTATGCTGGCAGTTAGCTCTGGTCTCTTCAAAAATTCAATGAAATTAATTAAAATAAAATCAATCTTTTAACTCCTGTTATACCAAAAAATAAATTTAAAGCTCATTTTTTTCTAATATTAGTTTGTGATTTAAAATAAAATCATGTACCGTTTTAAAATAGTAAATTAGTATTAAAGGGTATATGATGAAGTGTCTTCCCTACTATCCTATATTCTCTCACCACTCCCTGGAAAAGGAATAGCCATCCTTTAAAACACCCAAATGATTAACTTATATTGGGTACCTCTTATGATCCAGGTAGCATTCTAACCATTTTGTATCTACAAATTCATTTAATCTCCAAAACAGACTTATTAGATAGACACTATTTTATCTCCATTTAACAAATAAGAAAATGGACCACAAGTTTACATAGCAAGTAAGTAGCAAAGCAATGATTTGGACCCAGGCCAGAAGGTTCCAGAGCCTAGGCTTTTTTTTCCCTTCTTTCAGGACTGGGTCTTGGTCTGTAGCCCACACTGGAGCGCAGTGATGCAGTCCTGGCTCATGGCAGCCTGGAAGTCCTAGGTTCAAGCAATTCTTCTACCTTAGCCTTAGAGTAGCTGGGACTACAGGCACATGTCACTGCGCCTGGCTAATTTTTTTAAAATAATTGTTTTTGTAGCGCTGAGGTCTTGCTATGTTGACCAGGCTAGTCTTAAATTCCTGGTCTCAAGCAATCCTCCTCCCTCCAGCCTCTCAAAGCATTGGGACTATAGACATGAGCAGCTGTGCCTGGCCCAAAGCCTGGAGCTCTCACTATTACTCTATACTGCCGTGACAGCATGCTGCACAATGTTTTACACTAGATTATGGAGATCCTTCCATGCCTCGACATTTAGATCTGCCTTACTCACTGTAATGGTATGTATGAGATTGTATAAAATGGACCACAGTTAAACTACTTCACTACTGATGGACATTTAAGTTGTTTGTCAACCTTTGCTATTTTAAACAATGCTAATGTAATCTTGTACTTATTTCTTTGGGCTCACATATGAGTATAATCGTAGGATATACCATGGAACTGCTGAGTCAAAGGCTATGTATGCTTTTAAATTCTACCAAACTGTTCACCTAAAAATAAACCATTTCTCTCAGCAAAAGTGCATTAAAAGTACATTTTCCACAATCTAAGGAACACAAGGTTCTATTAGCTCTTTGCCAATCTATAATAGTAAGTAAAAAATGCTAATTTATTTTTATTTCTCTATGTATAAGGGCATCTCTTCAAATGTTTATAAGCCTTTCTTTTTTTTTTTTTTTTTTCCACAAAATGCTTTAGTTGTTCACTACAGAAAAAAAACTATTTAAAAACAAAGAAAGTTTACCAGTGGAGAAAGGATAGCCACTCCATGAAAGCGAATAAGTGAGATACTTTCAGGCTGAGCAGGGAGAAAGCTCTCTGTGGATATTGATGCTTCTTGTATTCTGGCAAGACTTTTTTCACAGAACTTCTCATACTCCTCCATCTTCCCACAATCACACTACAAGAGAGAAAAGTTATTTTTAATGTACCGGGAAAAACAGATCTTAATTATTTGGCAAATTTTGTAGAGCATGAGAGAGTCCCTCTAATTCAGAATTCCTATAACTGGTCTTCCCAGAATTATTTCACTGATCAGGAGCTAATTCTTGGGTGTGGTAATTCACCTCAAGAACCTGTCCAATTAAGATTTACTTTATATATTAAATATTTCTAGGCCGGGCATGGTGGCTCACGCCTGTAATCCAAGCACTTTGGAGGCCAAGGCAGGCGGATCACCTGAGGTCGGGAGTTCAAGACCCGCCTGACCAACATGGTGAAACCCCGTCTTAAAA